TAGCCGATTTCTATGAGTTCAAGAATCAGTGCTATAGTTACATAACACTGACAACCTGGTGGTTGTCAAGTGGCGCTTGGAGGTGCAGAATTCCTGGGCAAAGGTAGGCAATTTATGTCTATTCCACGCAGCCGTGAAGGATAAACCTTGGATTCAGAGATGGATGAAATAAATAGAATTTCTCATTTTAGGATGAAAATAATTTATTGTTGTAAAAATGCACGGCTACAGATTTCCAATAAACCTCGGAAAACAATTTCATGCAGTGGTTTTATACATTGTATAATTTAAAAATAGTGCTTATAAAAAATAAAATTTTAAAAACAATATATAAGTAATGACTTAGTTTTTAAGGAAATAATTAAGTAAAGTGTTAGTTCTAGCTTTCTTAAAAGGTTTATCACTAGACTCGTCATGGCTGCGACTCCTCTTCCAGTCTTCCCACAATTCACGTTGAACATCACTAGGCAACTCTTTGAAAACATCTTGGTCCGCATTTGGAGGACATTCAATGTCTTGATTTGACGAAACACTGTCTGAATTGTCACTATCTCTCGAGTTCAGTCGCAATTCCGCAACTCTCAGTTTGGAAGGTGATGAGTAATCTGACTCGCTCAATCGTGCGTTCCTCGTACTTAATGATCCCAGTCGAGATTTTTTGGGCTGAGGTTCAATTTCGATTTCAACTCCACCAGTGGAAGTAGCTGTCTGCAACGAAGTGCGAGGCTGCGAGATCGAATTTTTTCTTTCAATACTTGTAACCGATTGCACGGCTAGGTCGTTAACAAAATAGGAAGCGATGGAGTTTTTCCCTCCGATGCGCTCTTTAAATTTGGTAAACGACAAACCTAGGAGAGTAATGTGGTAGGAATGGGAGGTGTTAACTAGTTTTTTAAATAAACTCATAATGATTGACAATAGCTTTTTCTCAGAGGGCTCGTTCAGTGAAACCATATGTGTGACTTTATCGGTACTGAAGAGACCGGGACTGATGTTACACTGTTTCGTTTCTCTATGACTAACTCTGGAAGCACCGTCGAATTTTCTAATGGTAACTTTGATTGTAGTAGGAACGCGACCGTCTTCACTTACTAGAATGATTAGTCGCATCAGTAACTGATGAAACTTGTCTCTGACTTCAGTTTCAACGTTTAGCACTTTACAGCTGTCTTCTAAACCTATACTCTGCGGTCTTCCCGAAGTTTTCACTACAGAATTATCTCTACCGTAACTTAAATCTATTAACCATTTGGCTTTGTCCGCATTTAAAGCTTGGACTAATGTTTCAAAGTAGCACTTTTGTAAGTCCTCAACGGTTCTAATGTTAATCTTTTCCAAAACTTCATTTGTAGCACTTCCGACACCCGGTATTTCACTAACGTTATTTAAACTTAGAATTAATGGAACTGCGTGGTTTGGTAATACGGTTGTTTGTTGATTTGGTTTGTGTAAAGAGCATGCAAGTTTGGCTAATAGTTTATTGTACGAAATTCCGGCACACGTTGTTAATTTAAGTTCAAGTAGAATACCGTCACGTATTTCTTGCGCTATTAAGGATGCCATTTTAATTCGTTCTGTACAACCACACAAACAAGTTGCGTTATCGTTGTTAAACAGATTCCCTTTAGCATGTACGTTTTCGCCTTGGTGTTTCAAACGTTCATTGACCAATTGCGTGATGTCAACATAGTTTTCATCCAAACCAAGCCTCTCGACTAAGGCAGAATACTTTTGCAAATAAGATGTCACTTGATAGGATGTCTTTCGGTAGTCATACAAGTCTTCTCCGTTTACAATTTCCAGATTAGGGCATATCGTCAACGCATCCGAAATTAGCATGCATTTCTTTATGCCGTGCTTTCGTGCGATATAGTTACTCGTGACGAGAATATTTTTTTGTTTAACACCCAGTGGTACTTGACATAGTCGAGGATCTTTAATCATTTCAACTTGAGCATAAAAACAATCAATGTCGATGTGAATGATGGCTCGGGAATGATCATCTGCCTCACTTTCAATATCATACATCTGAAATGTTATACTGAAATAAGTACGAGTACTTTTACTCTTAAACCCACCTTTTATTACACTAATTAAATACCAACAGAAGTGTCTCAACACAGCATATGCCTTCTTCCTTATTTTGTATGACTTAACCTCAAAAAATATTCAGTACACGTATTTTGTTAATTTGTTTCTAATGTGTCATACTTTGTTTATTATTCAATTGACATATACCTACGCAATAATTAACACAAAAGAGTCTAATTAAATTTATTGAAAAAAGCGCGAGTTTTAAAACTGAAATGGAGAAGATGCATAATGCCCATTACTTCTCATTATCTTCCCAAGGGAATATCTACACAGTTACGATACTTCGTTTAGCAAATAATACAAACAAATTATTGGTGGCGTCTTTACGAAGAGAAATCATCTACTTTGAATATTTGCAAGGTCCTACCGGCATATTAATACCGAGTACCAAAGAAGTTTCATTTACGTATCTACCAAGTAGGTATATTAGTAGTAAGTTTATTGCACTTGATTAGATAATGTTTCTTGTAGAAGGGGCCGAAATTATTTCTATGGATGCATTTAATAAATCCGAAACCGCCAATGACTTTGTAATAGGAATTACAATTATTAAAGTAAGTACGATACTTGCGAGCTGTGGGGTGTATATAATGCTATCAGGACCACATTTGACAGGTGCTATAGGTATCTATATAAGCATGTGGGAACATTCACCCTCAATTACTTGGCTCCCGATAGTGCCCAACTTTGTACCAATATTTTATCATCTACACACAGATAAATAGCAACAAGCGACAATTGTCTACTGATATAGCACTTTTCATCTGGAAATCGTTTGTAATTTTGCAGTATAAGTATAACCGCCTAATTCTTTGGCTTATTTTATGACTAAAAGTTTATATAAACATAGCTGGACAAACGCTTTGATACTGATCTACAGGGTGTTAAATTTTTACAGTACAATTTAAACTATAAACATATGAAACAGGATACAATTTTGAATGCCAACAGTCAGAACTAATAGTCCAGTCAAATTACAGTTTGGGCTGGATGTTGTCATTTCACTCAACGAAACCAAGCGTATCCTATGTAAAAAAATCCGCTGAATCCGAAAATCATAGTCCCCCTGGCCGGAAACGGACGGAACATATTGTTATTAACAAAAAACGAAGAAAAAATGAGAATGTGTCGTGTTTTTTCGCATTTGACTTCGAATATCTCATTAACTATTGCTCGAAGGAAAGAATGAATAGAAATGAACTTGTTTAGAATAACATTTTCTATAAGATACAGCTGGTCCGGAACGCTCATGTTTAACTGTTATTGTTTTTTATGGCAAAATGTAAAAAATTAATCTCTTTAAAATTAACAATTTGTTATTAGTTATTACTAAGTAAAATTCATCCAATCTTTTTGAAAATCCGTATTTAGTAACTTCTTTTGATAACAAAACAATATGACAAACCCGATCATCGTAGGTTTCATAGTAATTGATTAATTAAATAAACAACTAAAAAAAGGGATGCCGTGTCTTTCAAACTGGGGGACTACAAGAGCGTTCCCAATTTTTTTATACATAATGTTACCCTAAAACAATCTTTTCCAATTATTATCCCGATAATTTTTACAAATCAACGGACTGTGGAATTTTTTTAGTTAACTAACAAATGGAATAGCTTCCAAGATATAACAAGAAAATTAACTCTAATATCGGCCCTTGGCACTCGAATTAATAAAAATCACTTATTTTGGTGAAATAGAAGCATAAAAGTTCACGCTTTAAAGAATCGATCGGTGCGACCCGATTTGCAAAATCATTTTTGGTTGTTTCGAAAACTGGCTTCAAAGTCAAAAGCTGATTTCTCGGAACTATTAATCGGATTTGGACGCATTTTTTTTAATGCATACCTCTTTCCGAGAGCTTTCCATTCGCCTATTATAGCGTTAATTTTTTGTTTTATTGCGGGAGTTATTCCATTTGTTAACTAAGAAAATTCTTTGAATTCCAGAAAAAAATTCTACAGTCTGTCGATTTGCAAGAATCATCGGGACAATTATTGGAAAAGATTGTTTCAGGGTTAAACTATGTATAAAAAAAATTGAGATCGGGACTACAACCCCCAGTTTGAAAGACAAAGCACCCCTTTCTTTACTTGTTTATTTAATTAATCAATTACTATGAAACCTACGGTGATCGGGTTTGTCACATTGTTTTGTTATCAAAAGAAGTTACTAAATACGGATTCTCAACAAGATCGGATGAATTTTACTTGGTAATAACAAACTGTTAATTTTCGAGCTTAATTTTTTACATTTTACCATAAAAAACAATAACAGTTGAAAATGAGCGTTCTGGACCAAGACCAACTTTATCTTATAGAAAATTTTATTCTAAACGAGTTCATTTCTATTCATTCTTTCCCTCAGAGCAATAGTTAACGAGATATTCAAAGTCAAATACGAAAAAATACGACATTTTCGTTTTTTGTTAATAATAATACGTTCTGGGCGTTTCCGGCCAGGGGGACTATGATTTTCCGATTCAGCGGATTTTT